GTGCTTCGATCATATCTTGGGGTCGGGCGGAGCGGATGATCTGGTTGGCAAAAGGACTGGCGATCACATGTGACAATTCATCCCAAAGCCAAACTTGAAGAGAAGCAAAAAAGTCAAGAAGAACTCGCATATCATGAGGTCTACTATTGACTGTGTGCATCTCAGCCAACATGCCATGGCCTTTCGAGTGTGCTCTCAGCCACAGACTGGCCGGCACTGTCCAAAAACCTTGAACGTTGCTCTCCACGTTCGAGGATCATCCAGAAAGGTCAACATGGATTGGGCCAGGAACTGGAGACTAGATCAATAAAGCATGATTTTATGCATGTTAAGATAAGTTACTTTCCAGGCTCTTGCTCTTGGGCTATAGTGCAAACTGGATCCGCTAAATGCCCCTGTTGTGGATCTCTCGGTCTCCTGGAGCCAGGAACTCTAATTGCATACGATCGCTCAGCAGTCTCTGAGTCTTCAGCTGCCACAAACCACCATCTGCACGCTTTACCTGCTTAAGAATCACAGGTTCGTGAAGAGAAACCAGAAAAAAGAGAACAAGGAGGCCATTGCTATTATCCTAATCTCTAAACCCTAAAGGTTGTTTTTCTTCCGGACTCCGTCGAATGTCGAGACCCACACTCCCTTCTGGCCTCGATGTGGTGAGATCCGATGAGGCATGTCACCTCCGATCAGAATTGGGGAAAGGAAAGAAAGGAAGGAAAGCAGAAGTTCCTAGAAGCTTCTTTGTTACTAGTAGTAAGGCACTTGTTACTACTAGCGAGGCACTTGTTCCTAGAAGCTTCTTTGTTACCAGAAAACAACAAAACGAGATAAAACAAGAGAACATTTCAAAGGTCAGAACAAATGGGTCCTTGTTCTTATTCCCGATATGAAAGAGGAAGGCAATAAACGGGAATCAATTCACAATTCACAATGGACCGTCTAGTCGTGCAATTCGGATACATACAAGCTCCTTTTGGATTTTGACCTGTAGGTCATCTATGTCTCGGTCCTGTAAACATACGCAAACAAACATGCAATGTAAATTCCACATGTGTCCTACTGCTGTTAGATTTCAATCGGTCTTCACTAGATCCAAGCTTTCAAGCTTCATCACTTGAACTTCTCTCAGCATCGACACATGCTGCAAGGAACCCATCGCAGCACCTTCTTGTAGCACCTCAGGCGGTCACAAGCACACGCGTCACATGTCAAGATACAGGGTACCAGTTGATAGATTCAGATAGGTAGATTGTTCGGGCATGGTTTCAAGATTGAAGGCAATCTTGGCATGATTCCAAAACAAAGAAAAGGCTCAAACCCGAACATTTCGAACCCTGTGTGAATGACATGTTGTTGAGTATTGCTTGCAAAATCTTGCAAACCTTTACAAACTTTACTATTGATCCAAGCATGGTTGAGACCCCGAGCTCACCATCTTTCCGGTAAAGGCCAGACAAAGTCGACAGGTCCTGCAATCCCATCAGCATCTTCTCCCGCGGGATTGCATGCTATGATATGCTATGGTTGTCGCGACAAAGACAGTCAGCAGCTCTCAGAAATTTGGCATGTCTTACCTGCGACATGCCTGTATAAATAATTATAAATCCGTACACGTTCTGTTTGGCTCGATTGAGTGAATCTATGGATTTCTGTCCTGCACTTCAAGTTCCCACAGCTGGCCTTCCTCAACATGCAGCCATTTTGTCTCGGATGAAGCATCACTGCAGGCATCAAAACATTTGCGCTGCGCATACTATCATATTCAAACTTATTCAAACGAAATGTGCCGTGCACAGGAACACTGACTGGCTACCATTCACCAAAGTCAGTGTTCCTTGTTGTGCAATAATGTTGAACTAACTCCAGCCTCACATGCCTGTCGGAAAAATTTGTACGGGGATGTTCTTGAGAAGGCCCTAACTCATCTCAAACCCGTTGGATGTGCAAAAAATGCGAGCACGCCTAAGTGTGCTAGTTCTACGGGCCAATGACCCCCAAGAGTAGTAGCGTTCTTGTGTGACTTTGTTGAGAACGTTTCGTTAAAAGAGTCTTCTTAGAAAGTCGCTTCGCCATCGCTACTAGGGTGGAGGCTATTACTATTAAGTTCGAGGCCATCGCTTCTACTTCTTCTTTGTTTATTTTTTTCGCTCCTTGAGATACGTCAAGAGCTCTTGGATCTCCTTGACGCGAGTCTCTGCGCTGGGACGGAACCTTGGAGACGCTCGAGTTGAAACGAGTTATCTTTCGGAGTAAGGCACTTGTTACTAGAAGCGATGCACTTGTTACTAGTAGCTTCTTGTTACTACTAGCCGCAGGTAGCAGGTAGCAGGTAGTAGGGAACGTCGTTCCTGTCGCTTTTCATTTCCTTTCTTTTGGCAACGCGCCAAACCCACACCAACCTCTCGAAAGACACTGTACTGTACTACCTGTACCATGTCAAAACTGTACCTTTCATCTCTAAGTTTCTGACTTCTCAATGGCCTGGCAAGGACCGCCGCTACGATTTGTGTTTGCAGCGTTTGACAACATCCTACTAGTAACAAGAAGCTACTAGGGGCTCCTGGCATCGCTACTAGTTACTAGGAGCAAGGACGCTGCTAGGGGCTCCTGGCCTTACTACTAGGAACAAGAAGACGCTACCAACGGGGCTCCTTGTTGGACAAATCCATTCCTCCCCGACTCCCTGGCCTCGGTGTCCTTGGCACAAGCCACGTCGAGCTTGGTGAGGAAGACCTTGGGGTTCAAAGGTCAGGGCCGTGGATCCAAAGTCAACCAGTGTTTGACACCTTGGCCTTTGTCTATCCGTTAGTAAGGGAGGGTGAGGTTTTGAATTTTCAACAAGAATGCATTCTCCTTGCAAGGATGCTACATGTTACTGAGTGTTGTATGGCCACACAGCACTAGGCCGTTCTTGACACCTTCCGTCCTTCTCTCGTGCCAAGACGCTCGGCCATCCGCGCGCTTGGCCGTGACCTGGTGCCCTGTGAGGCGGTAGCGCACCGTGACCTGCCACGTGTCGTCCAGGCCCCACTCCTCGATGATCTGCCTCCGCTTTCGCAATGCGACTCTACGGAAGGATGTGATCATGAAGGCAGCCTCACAGTCGGCCAAATTTGCCAACATGTTTATCAATTCGCCTTCTTTTGCGTTCTCGCACTTCTTCGTCCACATAGACCAACACCAGCACCACGTGAGTTCTTCGTCCCTGCGAAGAGGATCACAGCTTACAGTAATTTTTGACTCAGAGTTCTCAGTTGGTTCAAATCCATTTCAGTTGAGAATCCAGGGTAGGATTCCATGCAATTCGATAAATCCGTTGGATGGGTCAACGTTAATCTACTTGCCCAATATTGTATCTATGATTGTGCTCGTAAAAGCTGTGGATAATTCAACATCAAGGAGTCTATATATGGGATTATATGGGGTATGTCTAGCTCTACACTCTGCAGTCTGTCCATTCAACTAAGGCCACCAAACATTGTTTGAATGTAATGGTCCAAATGTTGAGTGGAAAGCAAACATCGTCAGCCATAGTCAGTGGCAACGCAGCTCCCTGGTTTACTCATGGTGACAGTGCGAAATTGTGACTCACTCGGATTGAACCAAAACAGGAAACAAAAGGACGCTACTAGGAGCAAGGGCATCGCTACTAGGAACAAGAAGCTACTAGTAGCACCCTATTCAACATATATAGTAAACATAAGACAACCTAATTCGACATCACCTGCCACTCCTCATGATCATCCCAGTTTCTGCACCTTTGGGATTCGCTGATGGAATGCCACCGTCGCTGATGCGCTTGGTTTGATTTTCCGTGTGATCGCACCACCCCAGTGCGGAGGAAGCTCCTGGAGTTCGTCGCCGGCGTCCAACGGCACGACTGGACCGCTCGGGAGGCGAATGCCCTGCAGCCGCCTCGCTCCAAAGCGGCGCCAAAGCGGTCGACTCGGATCCGGTGCGACACGATACCCGGGAGCTACTGGTAGCGCCAGGAGCTGGTAGCTTCTTGTTACTAGCTATTTGCTCCTAGTACGATGCCCTTTGCTCCTAGAAGCTTCTTGATCTTCTTGTTACTTGTCAACCCGTTGCTAGTAGCTTTTAGCTACTAGGTTGGAGTGGCTCTTTCCTGGTCTATTTTTTGCCCTCGGTTGGCGTGCAAACGGATTTGTTACGTTGGAATGGCTCCTTCCTTATAGACTTCACTCTCAGGAGGCCGACAAGAAGACAATAAGTTGACAATAAAAAAAACATAATGACTCTTATTGACAATAAGATACAATAGATATTTGGACACGGGGAGAATACATTGCTCTTCGACAAGATCAGAAGCACTCTTGCAAAGATGTATCTCCTAATTCAGATTTCGCAGTCGTAGGTGACAGTTTGAACATTTTCTCAAGTGTGGTCATCCGGCCTAACAATAGAGAGAGGAACATCTGGGAAGCCTTTGGCCGTGTCTCCCGTGTGGTGAATCCCACCTGTTGACGAAATCAACCCGTCCACTAGGCTCCCGGACCACTCGCCCGTGCGTAAAGTCAACTCGCTTCGGGCGACTTGCTGCTTTTGCTCGTGCTTCAATCCATGGGCCTCGCAAGCGAAGCATATAGGCAAAGCACCGCGGAATGCATCAAGCTTTCATGAGTTTCCCTTCCAGCCCTACAAAGAAAACAACACACACACATGAGTGACAATCGCTGTTTTCAATAAAAGGATACAAGAACCGTGGTTGTAATGCTAATGAGTTGTAGAATCAACAAGCTGATGCCTTAATTTCTCTGCTCATGTTTTTCTGCTTTCTTTGCAACGTAACATGTGCCTTGCGGACTTTCAAAGCTTCTGAGGCCTGGACATAGAATCACATGGACAAGTCTCCGAAAAGTGTCTGCAAGTATTTGACCAGTTTGAATAATTCTGAATAAAACAACTATATGTTTATGACATCTCTACTTGTGGAAAGGGTGACCTTTTCAGTGCGAATTATCTGGAGTTTTGCAAATTGAGGCTAGCATCCCACTTTCCAAACGAGTCATGCGTTTGATGAAATGGTCCGTTTTGATTGTCTGCGCTCGCCGCTAGGCTGTTGCCATTGTCTGCTGTGCAGTCTCAAGGAAATCCACTACTTCCGAGTGGCCCTGCTCGGCAGCTAGGTGCAAAGCGGTTGCACCACCGTGTTTTAAGGCATTCCTTTCGACGCCAAACTCAAGCAACAACTGGACTGCTTCCAAATGACCCTGCTCAGCTGATAAATGCAAAGCTGTTTCATCATCTATTGTCAGGGCATTCTTGTCAGCTCCTGCCTTTAGCAAGGCTCTCGCAACTTCCACATGTCCCCATTCACATGCAAAGTGCAAAGCTGTGAAGCCATCTTCCCTCGGAACATCTTTGGCAGCTCCTGCCTCCAGCAACTCTTGCACAATTTCCAAGTGCCCTTTCAAACTCGCCCAGTGTAAAGCTGTTGAGCCGTTGTATGTTGAGGCGTCCTTCTTAGCACCTGCTCCCAGTAGCTTCCGCACCACTTCCAAATGTCCAAACTCACTCGCCAAAAGCAAAGGTGTCAAACCATTTTGTGCTGTTGCATCCTTATCTGCTCTTGCCTCCAGTAATATTCGGACCACTTCCAAGTGCCCCATTTCACTTGCCAAGTGTAAAGCTGCTCTGGTATTTCGCTTTTCAGATTCCATTTCAGCTCCTGTGTCCAGTAGCAGTTGGACCACTTCCCAGTGTCCATTCTCGCTTGCCAAGTGCACAGCTACCCGCCCATGCCGTTTTGCAGAATCCCTATCAGCTCCTGCCTCCAGCAACTCTCGAACGACTTCGGTGTACCCACTGGCACTAGCTGCATGCAAAGCTGTTCTGGCATTTGGGTCCATGAGATCTTTGTCAGCACCTGCCTCCAGCAGGAGTCGGATCACTTCTAAGTGGGCCTTCATGGCTGCAACATGGATGGCTGCTTGACCGTTTTGACTTTTTGTATCGGGATTCTGTCGTTCCTGGAGCATTGCTTCAACTTCATCCAACTGACCCTCCTCGCAAGCTGAAATGAATGCACCGTTCGTCGCAGCTCCACCATCTCGAAAATCTGAAATCACGAGCTGCAAAGCTGATACTGATACGGGTGTAAATGGGACATCGTCCTCCAACGCGATTCCATCGTGAAACAGTGTTTGCCGAAACCTCGAAATTCCAGTCCGAGCTGCCAAGTGCTCTTTCATTGCTCTCACTGGTTTATTGCTTTGAACCATGAAATCTAACTCTTGTTCTTGAAATTCTGCAACGATTGTCCCTGACAGGAAGCAGATTTGCATCGGCTGTGTACAGCCGAAGACCATGACGCTGCTAGGCTCCAAGGGTGTGCTATGCGAAACAATGCTTCACCGAACCAACACATGATACTGAATGGTAATCCTCTTTCAAACTCATCAACAGCCCTTTCTAATCCTCTTCATGCAGTCCGCAACAGAGTGGCTCTTGTGGCTGGGAACACGTGGAATTGCAAGGCTATGGTTGGAAGTATTTCATGTCCGTTGAATTTTAGCTCAGCACAGCTTTGCGGGAATGCTCGCCATCCAACTATATGTACATCAGACAACTATATAACTAACTATATATAACTAATTAACTATATTATTATATATAGGATGGATGAGATTTTGCAAATTCAACATGATCGAATTGAGGATGATGTGTGGTAGTATGACTTACAGTCTTATTGTTTTGCACTGTTTAGTTATATATGTTTGATTGCTTTGCTCTGCTGACGGTTGCTCTGCTCTGCCTTTATCTTCAGCGTGTGCTTCTTGCAGCCTGCGGAGCGTGGGGACAGCCAAACCCATGCTAAATATATCACGATACCAGGCCACAACAAAGCAGCTGGATGAACTTTTGGTTCAAATCCGGTCCTCCGCCTTTGCCCTTTCCCTTTCGGTGTCCGACTACCTCTTTGACCTCGGCGGTTGATGGAATAAATACTCGTCCAATGGTGACACATCAAGATCTTCATGTTCTTGCTAAAACTTGGTACTCGCTACTAGTAACACTTAGTAACAAGGGCATTACTACTAGGACTAGTAGCTAGAAGCTACTAGTAGCAAGTGCATCACTACTAGGATACAAAGCAGCCTCGGCGGTGTCTGTGGATCTTGGGTCCTAGCCGACCGCGCCACAATGGGCATGTCGCCCTTTCGGGAGGAGACCTGTAGGCGGCTCTTTAACCTCAGCGAAGAACACGAAATCTCGTAGAACGATGTCTGTGTTCAGCCCCTTCGCCAAGTGCCCTGCTTGGTAAAGAGACGTTCGGCCAAGCCATAATCCTCCTGACCGGCTCCGGCTGGACAGCGCAATGGGTTGATAGGATGAGTGCAACTCTCCCTCTTTGTTGCGGGTGTGTCTTTCTTGTGCCCATGCATGTGCACGGGCATCGGCATTCTATTGACAGTGGACCAACTATTGTATCTAAACTGGATCTGGATCTTTTGCTAGTCAGCCCAGCTACATGTCCACCCTTGTCTTGACAGATTTGCATCGTTCGTCTCACTCCTAAGATTACACTACATGTTGGTTTCACTCAGGTTGGCAGAAACCTAGGTTCAATTTGTTTCCCTGGCCTCCTGCACGGCTTGGGCTATCTTCCGAAGAACGGCCTGGCATCGCCCCAAAATGGTTTCTCAAGGAACTCAATGGAACATACTTGTGCGCAAAGAGAGAGAGAGAGAGAGAGAGACAAAGCGTGCCTCAGGTATCTAAGACTGCCTTTGAAACACACCCACACGCGAAAACATAGATTGATTGATATTTACTTTAGAAACTGATATAGACTGTCTTATTGTCCTCAATCCATCTTATCATTGAAGCACCTCCACCATCAAACCTAGCACTTTCATGACCACAACAGGGACAACAATGGCCTCCTTGCCATCCTGCTGGCAGCCCTGGCTGCTTTGCGGTCTGGTGCCAAACTATTGAGAAATCAATCTGGGAAGCGAAGCAACAACACATATTGTTATATACTTGTTACGGTGATTCGGCAGTGATATTGGTGGTGGATGATGTCTCTTGGGCGAAAACCATGCACTTCTCCTTGAAAGTTTCATCGTGCAAGCAAGTGATTTCCTACTGTGCATCCTCTAGGACTTGCTTACCCCATCCACTCTGAAATC